TTGTTTTGGAGGACGAATTCCAAAATCTCTCAGTATGTCATTCCATTCCATATCTTCATTAGGATCCTGTTTTAATATTATGAAACAAAACTAAATCAGCAAAACAGTCTTGTGTGCCTTTTTAAAAATCAAAACCAGCCCTTTTTCACTTTAGCACATACTAGGGATGTAACAAAAGGAAACTGTTACTCAGTGACTGCAATGGACCATTGTCTATCATGAATTTTCATTTGTCATTTTTCACTTCTGAACAGAAAACAGCAAGAAAATAAGAAGAGAAAGAAAACTCAAATGTAAGCGTAGATAAAATAATCAGTCTCCAAAATATCAGCTAAAAAAATTGTCTAAAAGATATATGGAAACCTACTTCAGAAAACCAAAACTATACACTGCTCACTTAAAGAAATATAGCTTTATACATGTAAGTTTTTTTATCAGTATTTTTATGTTACTACTAAGAATAAAGTATTGACACTGTGAATAAACATGTAAAAGCATGCCTAGAATTAGAAAAAAAAGACCTTTTTATTTTAAATGAATGATTAATATTAATGTGTCAACATAAGCTACTTCATACACCATGTTTATAACACAGGACTTCTGTAGATGTTCAGTTTACATTTGTGGTAATTTTAATTAAACAGTAAAGATAAAGGAACTGTATGCTATTTATAAGACTGCATTTCTACTGAAATTATCACATTAAAATAATCTGTTTATTGTAGCTGGACTGCTGTTGAAATGGTAGAATAGCAACACATTCGGAGGCCTCAAATATGGATTGGAAGTAATAAAGCAGATTTTTAAACAGGTTATTAATAAAAAGTGTGGTATTTTTGGTCCTGAAATAACGACTTGTTTGAAAACCTCCATAAAGAAATCTCTGTATAAATATGTATATATCCTAAATATTTTGTGATATTCGTAATTCCATAATAATGCAGCACCAAATAAACAAAAAGTACCTTACAAAAATTTTACCTGAGGAAACATCCAGGATTTCCATTGGATCACTACCATGCCCATGAGACTACATTGGTGTTTCCAGCTGACAACTGCCTCATTTTTATTCAGCAATGCTCTTGTACAGAATTCAGCATGAGTATAACAAAACAAATTCTAATGAAAATCAAAAATTACACATGCCTCAAGGAACTTCACAAAGGTAAAAAAATCGCTTTGCATTTTGGATGAAAACATACTTGGGAAATCCACAAAGAGAGTAAATAGAATCATGCTGTTGGTCGCAAGGAAGTGAAGTACGGTGGGTTTGCAAGAAGACTTACGTCTGCCAGTTTTTCTGGCATGAGGAAGGAAGCGAGTCTAGGCAGGGTTTGAAGCGGAAAGGAAGTGGCAGTACTTCGTGACAGTTCCTCCAGCGCTCCTGTTGCATGGGCGCAGCAGGCTGACTGCAGGCAAGGGTACTGCTACCAATATTCAATACTAGTGGAGCACTCTGGCTTTGCAAACATTTAGTGCCTTATTGCTAAGATAAAAAAAGATATTTCATACCTGAATACTTTAATTGGTTCCTTCTGCAAAGCTCCAATATCCAGATTTTGGACTAGAGATGACAACTCCATTGTAAATTGTTATAATATTTGGAAAATTATTTCCTATAACATTCCACCTCCAAGAATATGGTTAATTCATCACCAAGTCTTTCAAATATACTAGCAAACTTACTTTAACTTTATCCACATATGAAAACGTTGATAAAGAATTAAGTGCTGCTTTCTCCTTCTTTGATTGAAAAGTAATTGATATAATCCATTGGAAGAAATAAAAGAGAAGCTCCATATCTAATCTAATGAATTAAGTGGTCACTAATGGTCTGGCATTGGAAAAACCCAAATGGAGATTTTGCTATAGTGTAATTCCTCAGGGTTTACTTATGTAAAAAAGTCTTACACTCTGTCTTACTGTGGGTTTTCAACTCTTCACCAAAGCAGAATTTTGACTTAGGTACAGCCAGGGTATCAAAAAATCCACAGAACTAAGAGGATTACTCCTTCAAGGGAACCACTGAAGAAACATGAGTGATACACATGAACTTTGGCCTCCACGTTAAGTGCTTTAGTGTATGATTTCCTGACTTAAGTCAGGATCAGATTTCCTCATTTCACAGAATGCAAATCCTTCTCCATAGCAGAAGTATTATGAAGAATAACAAGGCATTAAAAAACATAAAAATCATCATCATAACTGGACAAATATTTTCAAAACCACACAACAAAAAGGACTACTGAAACAGAATTGGAATTTAGGTAACTTAGAAGATAAGCTCTGGCCAGTTTTTGCCAGGGAAGATTATGACTTTTTGTGTTTTTCTGTAAATTTAGGTCCTACATAAAATCTTTCCATAGAATTTTACTTAAATGGTGTATTTCATACTATTTTTATTTAATGCTTGCAATATTCAATAGGTTTGTGTAACCAGTTGTACCTTGGACAGTTTCTGGATACTGTTACAGCTACAAAAAGTAAAAGCAAAAAAAAAAAAACTGATCAAGAATCCTAGATCACAGTAAACATAACAGAAACCTGTGTCTCTGATAAATCTGAACTCCAGTCTCAAGGAAAAGAAGATCAGAAGCTAGAAAAACTTTAATGATTTTTTAATAAATTAAATTAAATCAATGTTTAAAAAGTTGGTACTAAGTGATTAGCTCAACGTTGTAGTAATATGCACAGATTAAATAAATGAAAATATGTGTCAAAAACTTCAGAAGATATTTGATAGTAAAAGTGAAAAGGAGACAAGTAGTGGCAAAAGCAATTCGACATAAATTGGTTTTGGAGTATGAAGCTAGACTACTGAAGCAGTATTACTCTACTAGCAGTCCACAAACCAAGCAAAAAAACCTCTCGTAACACTTCTCACTGCTGCTGATGATAATGGTAGTTACCACCAGCTTTGCTAGGCGTGATGCATATATCAAGTTTGGGAACCCACAGGCTTGATAACTTCGATCCCTAAATGTAAATAACACTCGATAAATTTAATTCGCAGTTCTTTTTTTTTAGCAAGTGACATGAAACAAATTCTCAATGATGTTTTAAAAATATGGTACACCTACAATTGTTCAACTAACAAAGTGTAGTATTTTATTATTCTTACAGGACAGTAATGATGGTTAGTACTTAACCGTTAGAAACCGTTTGAGTTTCCTGATGTATTTGCACAAGCAAACCCACACAAACTGCTCTCCCATTTGCTATTTCTTGAGATCCCCGCAGGGGCTGGGAAGGCTATGCGGGGCCGGGGCAGCCACCCTGGCTCTCTCTGCCCTGCAGGGCCCTGCGGCAGGCTTGACCGCGCCAAGGCAGTCCTCCTTGGCGGCCAGCTTTGCTCCTGATCTCCTCGCTGCCTTGCCTTTTTTCTCTCTGGTTGCCTCCATTGAGGCAGTTGCCTCAGGCAGCACGATGTGGTTCTCATAGAGCCCAGCACCTCTCTTGACTACCCATCTGCAGCCTCCCCCATTTCCTTGACAACCCCACCCCAACTCCCTCATGGCCCTTGGTCTCAGCGGCTGCCCCACCTGGACAGCTCGGGGCTGGGGTGACCCCTCTGCGCCTACCTGCATGGCTGCCCCTGGGGCACTGCCTGTCCTCACGGAGGCCGCTAGTCTGACCCGATGGTGGGAGGACGGCAGCGGCCGTTGGGGCAGGGCCACCCTGCCCTCACCGTTCTAATGGTGGCAGTGGGAGGGCAGTGAGGCAGCGGCGGGCCCTGGCTGTTTGGCCCATTGGTTGTTGGTTACTGCTGAGAAAACTGGTCCCGTTTAAAACAATTTCAGCAGGTAAAAAAAACCCAACAAAACAGAAAACAAGCAAAAATAAACAAAATCCTAACAAACAAAATGTCGAACATGGGGCACTTTGAGTTTGACCACTTTAGGCGATGGTTTTAAGTGGGTGTGACTGAAGGAGGCAGCCCTGCTCCCTGCCTTGCCCTTCAGCCGTGGCCTGCTCATCCCACTGCCTGCTTGAACGGACGCTGTCAGTCGTGTGGTGTAAGGCAGCTATGAGAAAAACTTAAACAAATAACCTAATTTAATGCAATACAATATAATAAGTGTTTTGTGGCAGGGTTTGGGGTCTGAGCAGGGGTCGTACATAACTAGATCCTCAGTTCACAAATTGCACCAATTTGACTGGAGACACAGCAAACTGCAGAGTGAAAACAAGTGAGCAACAAGAGGAAAAGGACTTCTTAAGCTGGTTTCCACCTCTGAGGCCATGCATTTTCCCAGCTACCTTCTGAAGTTCAGCTGCTTAACCAGGAGTAGTAATGCTGAGGTCAATTCAAACTCTGACCAGCCAATACAGTGTTAAAAACAATAATCCACTTCTACACTGATTAGTTACTTTCAACATAATTGCAACCTCAACATCATATTTTAACACAACCCTGGTGTTAAAACAAACTCAGAGAGAGAAACTAGGAAGATTGTGAGGTTAACTTGTGCTTTTGAGTAGTTTCTTTAAGTCTACATCAAAAGCAGTTGAGTTTTCAAGTGAATCCTAATTCTGGAAGAATGTAAATAACGCAATTAATTCTTCTTCTGAATGAGAACCATACTGTATCTGTGTTCTTAATAGCTCAAAAAAATTTATGCCATTGTATTTCAGTTGAATTCAAGTCAAGATATCTCTTCAAAACATGCAACTTGTTCAACTTCCTTTTGTCAAAGGAATAGAAATTCACATTTTTTTCTCAATGAAACACTATTAACCTTAAGGCTTATTGAGGACTGATAAATTCCTTTATCATCCATAGAGTTCTGTAGATCACCTGCAGAGCACTTATCTTGACCCTGTAGACTGCCAGAAGTCCGCAGACTACAGTGAAGGAAGTACAAGGGCAGAGAATGTCATTTTGAAAACCAAACCAGACCTTTTGTTTGGCCTGCCTAGATAAACTGTGATTTTAAAGACTGCACAAATCACTTACAATATGTTCTGAAAAAATGCCATAGTCTACATTGCAAACATTCTCATTAAAACAACTCTCTAACTAAGTGCCTTTATTTATAAGGGAAAACAAACATACATAACAGTGTTGTTAGAGGCAATGTCTGTGGCATGCACACGCTGACATTTTTACAGTTGCATTACACACAGTTGTAAATATCATAATATGAGGAAACAAACAATTTTAATATGCTTTTAATATAATCAAGAAAGTAAAGAAACTTTTGAATCCTTAACAGAATCTAGTTTAAGAACATTTACATTCTAGTGATTTTTAATAGTACATTAGTAACGAATACTTTTTGTAAGGAAAACAGTATGTCCGTGTACTCAGCATTCCTGTAGCATTAGTTCTAGGTCAGGAATCTAAAATCCTGAAAGGTAAGAAAAAGCATTAGCTCTTGGTATGATAAAACACTAAATACTTAAAATATGATAGAGGTATAAAACATATTAGAAAACAGACCATTATAATATTGGCATACTTTTTTTATATCTCCCCAAATAGTTGAATGCTTTGAAATTAAATCCTGAAATTTTACTTAGTTTCAGTATGAGGTTTTTTTCTGTGTAAGATTAGGAGATTACACACAGGATGTCGGTTCACTTCTCAGTATGTATTTGATAGGTAGTTGACTCAGTTCTTCCTGACATATACTTATCATCATTGGTAACTTTCCAAAATGTTTAAAAATCTGGGATATTTTCCGTTTCTTGCTGCGTGAAACACAGGTTCTCTGTTCTAGGAACTGAGTACTTACAGCTTCTGTTCACTTCATCTGAAGATATATGAATTTAACATATCTGGGAGAAGTTTGTGGAAATCTAAGTTGACCACACAGTTAAAGGCTCTGAGACTACTTCTCAACATAAATATTGTGGCCTATTTGTATAAAAATAAATTAATTAAATTGAATAAAATTATTAAATAAATACCTCCTTAGCGAAAATCCACTGATCTCCTTCCATTGCGTGGCTGAAAGACAAATATTCAATAATTGCTCTATAAAACTGACTGGATTCAGCAACAGAGCCCCACACAACTTGGTATGTATAGAAATTGGTAAACTTTTCAGTTCAGTCAACGTGATCATCATTACAGAAAAACCTGAGACCAGGTATTGTTTAATGTATAGAGACCTCTGGAGGAGAATTATACAGTAAAATGTACTGCATATAGACTGAAGGATGAATTATACCTATCTTGTAAGATTTTATAAGGAGGAGAAAGCCACAAGAAGTCACTCTAAGAGACCATTATCTCTCATTCTTTTTGCATTTTCTTAAAATTTGCTTTTCAGATTGTTGTTATTATTACATTATAAGTGTGTATTGCAATTAACAAACAAATATGTAAGTCACTCTCAATGATTTTATTTTTAGACTGTGCTCTTTAACATAGGCAAAGAGTTTCTCCCTTTTCACCGTGGTCATTTCCAGAAACATTTTGCACTACTGAGGGACTTGATACAATTTCTACTGAGCTTAATGAGGATTTGATTTTTACTCTGGAATCGTGAATGCACCGATGTTAATATTATCCTGTCATAACAACTTTAAAGATCCACGCCTGATACATAAGAAATTTAACTATACAAACTTGCCGTCTTTTCATTAGAATCAGAAATGTAGAATCATTTAGGTCAGAAAAGACCTTTAAGATCATTGAGTCCAGCTGTAGCCACTTTCTTATTTAAAGCCATCACCCACTTTTTTATTTAAATAGAAAAAAATATTCACCAAAATCAAGAGAGTTATTATTAAGTCTGACTTGCCATCTTTAACATGCTCAGTTTAACTAAAATGGAGTAAAAAGTCTCTATGACATCAAAGATGAATAGAGTAGTTTCATTCTCATGAGAATTTCTGTATCTAGTTTCTAACCTTACTGGCCAAAAAATGAAGAAAACAGGAAGGTCAGGCCAAATAGCTGTTTTGATAGTGTGTAAGCATGGCATTGTATTTATACCACAAGTAAACATACCATGTTAAACAGTGCTTTAGTAGGATTGTCCAAGATCCCATATTTTCTAGAGCTTTCTCTGAGAATAGTATACATAATAACTAATGACTTATTAAGGCATAACATGGTATCATGCTAATCTAAGAAAATGTCCGGAGCAGATCTTGAGTAGTCTTATATGGTGGGATGCTCTTACTGAAAAAAGTTTCCTCATTCACAGTTATTTTTATTGTAATTCACTGGTTTCTCTACTTTTTGTTTTGTAACACTTACCACGAAATGAAAAGAAAAAAAGTCAAATAAACCATACCCTGTAGAAAAAGTAGCCTCTGCTTTGAATCCCTCCAGGTCCTTGAAGTTCTTCCTGAAAAAAAGTATTTAAATCATATCTACTCTTGTAAATGAATACATATAGAGAGGTTGTTTATGTACATATTGAAAGTATTTCTTCAGTACTACTATACAGTCTTGCCCCTTAAGGCATGCTTTATATGTATTTCTCCATTTCAGTAATAAAAAGTTCATGTTGTCATGTAGAAATAGCAGAAAACATATGAATGAGGGCCATATTCCACCTCAAGTTTTGGCCCAGTTCAGATTGCTTTAGAATGGTACTAGTAATGATGAGCAGCCTTTGCCTTCAACTTTCCGGGTTTCATTACCCAGACACAACCGGAGTGTCTTCACGGCAGTGGAGTCTCTATGGACAAAGTAGAATTGGTCTTTGCACCTCGCAGAAGGGCAACAATGCAAAGCTTAAATATCAGAAATACTTGGGATCCTCCCAGGAATGTCATCCCAGACTGTTCCCAGAGTTGTATCATGATCACCCCTCTCACATTAACTCCCAAAGAAAAGACCAGTGCTTATGATACTCGATGCTGTCCATGCTGTCATTGAGAAACAGCTGTCTACTGATCCATACAGTCAGAGGGGGGAACAAAAAATGAAGAAAACAGAAATTCCATTTAAATGTAACAAGTACAAAGCATGAAGTATCCAGTTGCTTTAATGAGATCTTCATGATTAGAGAACATATAATCTTAATCACAGTATTTTCATTGCTGATGTTAATATCAGATACATCAGTGAGGTGTCTGTCCCACAGGTGGAGAGACATGCCAACTGAGAAACAAAATAATTCAAATCTTGTGCTTACCAGAATATAAAATTTAGATGGAATTTAGCAATGATGGTATTTCTCAATTAAAAAACTGGTGTCATGTGATCTCTTGGGTAATGATCATAACCTGCATTGTCATAGAAAGAAATGTCTATTCTAAGAAATATGTCTATGTCTAAGAAAGAAAGCTCTATTCTAATGCTGTAGGAATTAAGTAAAACAGGATGATTCCCATCATTTCCAAACACAGGAGTAGCTTCAATTCAGAGAAGCTTTCAAAGAAAGTAGTATTTAAACTATACATAATTTTTGAGCCCTGCTTTTAATTTGACTTCAGTTCACCAGGTACATTACTATAGTCAGTTTCTTTGCTGTATGTAAAACATCTGTATGATTTTTACTTATATTGTCCATCTCATTCTACCATTACCTGGATCTGAAATATCCATCTCAGATCTATAATCCATTCAATACCACAGTTTTTTTCATTTCAAAAGGGTAAAAATTTGCCTGTTAATGGAGACCTGTATGTTGCCATTGGAAAGTCTTATGGTATTTATATTTCATTATTTTTCTACTTTTTGTATTCAAGGTGTGAACAAAAATAAAAACAAAACCAAAATAGGCAGCTGTTGCAAGTTAAGGAAATTGATCTAGACCATAAAAGGAATCAAGAGTACAATTACTAATATGGAATTGTGATTTATGTTAGTATGTCATTCTCTGCTTAAAGATTACATAGTTTTCTTGTTTGATTTTATGTTAGAAGGTTGGTATTAGAAAACAACTGAAGCTAAAATCTGTTTTTGTTGTAACACTCGCTTTCTAAACTTCCAAGGGTTTGGAGATGTTACAAAATAATCAATACATGCTCTAATATATATGACTGTATATTCATAAAGCTGCATGTATATATGTATACAGAAACATGTGTATTCATGAAGAAGTATGGTTATTTAGAGTTTTATTTTAGTGCCTGCCCTCTGGAAGTTATCTTGTTTAGTCTCTTAAATTGACTTGCCAACAAAGTGCTCTTGCGTCTTCTTTCTAGATCATGTTATATCAGCCAAGATGTAGCTGAAGAGGAATCAAATCCATGACAAAATCTGGTGTCAGTCCAAACTGGGAAGAAAGAATAAATTTAATAAAACACGTTTCCTCCTTCATTCATCCACCTTTTCAGTTCCTTATCTGGTCAGGGAGAGAGGTGAGTGTGTTTATGTAGAGCAGATTCTGGTTTTCTTCTCAGTATGAGGAAAAAAAAGCCAGCAGCAAGCTAACCCTCCTGAAGCACATTCTGTGACACCAGACTGAGATAGTCCAACCAAAGGTGGGCAACCCACAGGAACATGGGGCCTTCCTGCTCCAGGGGGGATCTGAGTTCCTCTGCACATCTCAGGCAGGGTTGCTCTGATCCTCTACTGGCTTTAAAATTTACCTATGCTGTTTCCCCATCAGCCCATCTGGTAGAGTGTTTTGGAAAGATGGATTTATAGCTTTCTCACAGTCAGGGAATAATTGCAGTACTTTTATTATTGATGGCAAATTTTTTCAGTGTTTTCTTACAAACTGGTATGGCCTTCAGCAATGACATTTAGAGAGAATTTTAAACTCTTACACTAAAATATGCTGAAATCTGCCATATAAACAAATATGATATGTGTAATATGGACTAGTTTCAAAAATTTATTATGATATTAAAATAAACAAGGTGCATGCAAAAATACCAAAACCAAAAGAGTCTGCAAAGGAAATTGATTCCAGAAGACGCTAGCACTTTGTAAATGTCTGGTGTTTATGGACTGTAGAGGAATAAATAACACCTTTAACAAGGTGACTGGTATTTTTTTTTATTGACAACAGGAAATCAAAAAAGTTGCTTTCTGTAAAATGTAATTCAATTTAGAGCTGTTTTCATTGTTTCCTTAGATTTATATGTATATTTTTAAATGGCTATATTCTGTAAGTGTTGGCCGTGTCATTACTTCTCTTGGTTTCAGCTGTATAGAAGAAAATGTAAGCAAGTACATATTTCATATTACTCATGTCTTCATTAGGATTTAATGAGCTCTTCACTTTGTAGGCCTAAACGCCTAATGATAAAATATTCCAAAATAAATTCATATAGGGAAAAATCAAAGGTGGTTAAATCCATTAATTACTATTATTACATGACGGTCCAGATGAAGCCTTCGACTCAGAAGGTCTCTAGGATGTGCCTCCCAGCAGCTAGAGAGCATACCAGAGAACTGATTGTTCCACATTCCCCTGGTCCTTCCACCTTCTTCCTGCTTATGTACAGCCAGACCCTGTTAGACACAGGATACCGGACTGATGAAAATAGCCTGAACTAGTGTGGCTTTTGTTATTACATCTTCTTTCTTAAAAATTGTTACTATGATATGACTGTGACAGTTCTATATTCCATTCCTCTTCAAACAAATCCTAGTTAGACTTACTGCTTAAGGATTGATGAAGTTATTGTACCATCTACTTTAATCTAATCCAATTATCCATGATAGCACTGACTAATCTAGAGGATTCCTGTGCCTGTAGTTCACAAAATACGGGTTACTGTTACTCAACGTGGTCATTGAAAGTGCCACAAATCCTGTGTTCAAACTCTTAGCTGGAGCTAACTTCTGACGTAGGAAAGAGCTTAGCACTGAGCCTGTGAACAGTCCCACTGAAATAATGACCCTAGTTATGCATGTGCTTATGCATTTAGCTGGGTTAACATGTAAGCATAAGTGTAACAACACGACTGTTAGTTATCACAGTGTGGAAGGGTTGGAATTCTAACTGTTGCTATTTCCATGTACCACTAGTTATAAGTACAATAATACAAATAATAGGAGACAGGTCTTTTAATCATTAGCCACTTGAAAAGATGACTAAGGGAACACATAATACTCATCATCATTCATTCATTCATTCCTACTTTAAAAATCTGATGAAAATAAGGTACTTTACAAAAACAAGCCTGATAAAATGTTTGCTTTTTGCCACAAAGTTGTATCAGCCTGTTCTGGGCTCATTCTCAAAAACTACAGCATTTTTTTTAACAGTTTTTATAAAATTTCTTTTGGAAGAAATATTTCCAAACACCATCCTAAACAAAGGTCTTTTTATATCAGTATGTGTTTACACTTTATATCAGATAGCTAGTATACTTTTTAACTTTTTTTCTAAGGATTTGTAGAGTATGGAATTTCATGTTTATTTCATGTAAAAAGTAAATCTTTAAATTGTTATATGATGGCTTGACAGCTCTTAAACAATTTATTAAATTTCATTTGTGAGTTTTTATAAGTATAGTGACTCTCTAAATACATATAAAGACATGTAATCTAACTGATATACTCTGTAGAGTTAGGTATTATTATTACTTGGAAAAATATCCTTATAGTTCCTTTTTTGCACCCACTAAAAATAAAACTGTCACAAAGAGGCTGAAGTACACTGGAATATGCGAAATATGCTACAAATTTTAGGTCATTGTCTATTAATTAATGTATTCTATTTCCATAAATTATGCAATCAACCTCAACACAAGTAAATTCTGGATATTAAAGTATTCTAGCAAAAGGACTGTATTGGATTTAAAAGGCAGTTTGTTTTCACTTACAGCAATTTTTTGTTCTTGCGTTTATGCTTTCCTTCTCATTCTTTGATTTGGCTGACATGTATGTTCATTTAAAAAGAAAGAGCAATTCCAAGAACAATCTTTGCCAGTATGTAGGTCCAATAGGATAAATACAGTTCACATCAATGTCATCACAGAAGGTAAATTTTACCCTGGATTTTCCTTTCAGATGTGTAGTGGGTTAAAATTTTCATAACAGTTTTAGTCCATGAGAAGGTATACCAACTCTTTAAGTTCTTATATGTTGCCGGGTTCTGCCACTGGATAAGAAAAATGGGATTCAGGGCATATAGTTGGGATTACGCGGTGATCCAAAGAAAGCGGTAGATAGTATTACCGACCACAACCTGACTAGATGAACTCTGACATACATAATTATAGGATTAAGAGTTCATTGAAAATTTGGGAGTTAACAACACAGCCTTTATCCAGATTAATAAAGGAAAAATCCTACCTATGTGGATGCTACTATCTGAGTTTTACATGTCACATTTGTACACCTACTTTAACCTGTGTATCAGTGAATATAAGGAATCATATCAATGAATCTAAGGAATAACCAAGCTGAAATCAATGTAAAACAGGAGGAATCTGGGTGTTAGATTTTGGTATACTTTATAATACAGGAATCTTTGGTATTCTTATAGAGAGAGATTCTTATAGATCAGACTGCATTTTCTCTTTTCTCCACAGCTGCATTAAAGAGATGGACATTAACAGCCATCTGCTTTTCGATTTTTGAAATTTAAAATTTCATTTGCAGCAAATATACCCAAATTTTGTGATATTTTTGAAACAATGGGGCTATTCTTCTCGATGTGAGATTCTTACAGATCAGACTGCATTTTTCTCTTTTCTCCACAGCTGCATTAAAGAGATGGACATTAACAGCCATCTGCTTTTCGATTTTTGAAATTTAAAATTTCATTTGCAGCAAATATACCCAAATGAAACAATGGGGCTATTCGATGTGAAACTTTTGTCCCAAAACACACTACTTTTCTATTGAAAATTTATTCCATAGAGAACTTTCTTATCTGCACCTTAAGTTAAACAGTAAATTGCCGATAAATTACTTGGAAATGTTTAGTACTGTAAGTCATAAATAACATATGTTTAAGGAATAGATATGGTTTGAATTCCAAATAGGGGGAAAAAAAAAGAACTCTCTAGAAAATATAACTCAACTGCAACACAATTGTACAGATAAATTTGAAAGTATTTTTCTTTCTATGGAAGTACAAACAGATCCATTTACACACATAGGCTCTGTGTTCTACCACTGTAATAAGCATATATTACTTCAGAGGGCGTTGGTTTTAAATGTTAAATATCAGCAGGATTATTTTTCCCTAGTTAAAGAATAGAAAGACCTCACATTTCTAATGAAAATACACTGTGTGATATTAAATCATGAAAAAAACAATGTTATGAGCAGAAAGGTCTGCAAGGACATTTTTAGAAGAGCTAATGAATCATGAAGTGTGAGAATGCAAGCATGCAGAGTTTAAGATTACATACGTCCACTTTGTATCTCTTCAGTCTTCTCTCATTAAGCTGGGGAACAAGTTGCAGCAAAGGATGCAGGACAGACGACTGAGAGGACATGAACACAGGCAGATGAGCAACAATGAACTTTGGACCTTATGATGCAAAAAAAAGTCTCTTCCCACAGCATTGGCTTATGGACCAAACATGCACCGAAAAAGGACTGAAGATGTTAATTGAGAAACTTTTTTTTTTAACATTCTGACTTGACAACAAACAGGTACCAACATTTATATTTACACTGTGAATGTGACTCAGAGTGATGGAGGGAAAAGCTATGCGTCCTCTCATTTACTCACTGAAAGTTCAGAACTGTTTACAGACTTCTTGCCCAGGCAATTGCAATTATTCTGACTTTGGTCAGCCTCTGTGAGTGATACAGAGAATATTTCCATACAGTGCTCCCACTAACATTTCTACAATTATCTACTCTGGACATTAGCAGTTTCAATCCCTGTTGTACCGAAAAGTTCATTTTATTTCAAAATAACTTAAATCTCAGCAAGGAAAATAATATTTTTTTTTTCTTTTGCTAGAAAACAGTGTGCAGGAGGGATTCATTCTCAAGTAAAATTGGTAACCATGGCACTGATCATTCTACCTAAAAGACAAGCTCCAATCATTAAATTCCTTGCGTTCAACAAGACTTTAGCTTGCAGACAGCCTGGTTAAGCACGGTGGCATCCTGTGCAGTCTAAGTGTCCCCCTGGCAAAACACAGCCATGTGGGCTTCTGGAAAGAGGTATACAGTGAGAAATAAAGTAGAAAAATCTATGTTCCATCAACCAATTTAAACCTTCAACTCATATAAACATAATTGTAAAAATAATGTATTTTATAATATATCAAATAACTAGAGTTACCAGAGTGTTAATGTACTTAATAGGTAAAATGATCATGCCAACTTGGAGACAATTTTGCACTGTCTGCCTAAGGTAGGCAATGTGGCATCATAATATCTAAAAAACTAGAAGTCTGACATGAGCGGAGGAGTTAAAGGGCATCCCAGCTGCCCACTTGGGCTCTGTCTTGCAGTCAGTGAGAGGTTAAAAAAGCCAAGGAATGATGGAGCTCACCCAAGTTAGCTTCTCTGAGAACTGGGCTAGAAAACAGTCAATGGAACAGCTAAACCAGAAGTGAGAAAGCAGTAATCTCTGGGGGCAGGCAGGGCAAAGGTACTCAGGATGGGGAGGAAGGGGGATGCAGTAACCTCTTAAGCAAGAGAAGCGGCAGAAATAGCTCCTTTCACTGGGCCCTGATTACCATTAAAACCTCCAGAGAAGCTCTATCATGAAAACACTGACCTCGATATCAGCAACATCACTTTCTAGCAAATATACTACATATTTCTGAAGAAATGTAAAGAACAAGGCAAAACCAGACATTAACATCTAGGAATGATTGTTAAGAAATGAGAAAACATGAATATGTTTAACTTTCTCAAAATTCTGTAGTGCACAGAAAAATGACATAGATGCACAGAAATAACAGATTGTATTTGCACTTTAAAAGCAAGAATGGATCACACATAGTTTATTTGTTAGTTTATGAGAATATTTTTATTCTCAACAGTTTATTCGCAACAATACTAGGCTATTTTAAAAATAATATTTTTCATTTAAAATATAATCCAAAGTCTGAGTGAGACTTAAATACTATTTTGCCTGAAACATATTTATGACATTCACAAATAAACACATACAATTTAATTAATAAAAATTCATTAAGAGTTCTTAATATTTATGGTTGTGTTCTCAGCTTTTATAAATCTGCATTGAATCACTGCACATGTGAACAGTGCTATGTTCCACCACTAGAAAAAAGCATTTGACCTTACTCTTAAATGTCAAAACTACAAGATAAAGATGCAGTTGGAATTCCATGACTGTTTGGTTGGGTTTTTTCACACCTGTACAGTATTGACGTTCCTCTCCCATGTTATTAAAACACATTCTGTATCTTAAACATGAAACTCCCAGTTCTGAGCTTGCTATACAGTTGGAGAGACTACCGCAAAAAGCACATGACCTTGTTTGTATGAACAAGTATACATGTACTCACAAGGAGGTGTTATGCCACTTACCATGATGTCTGAGTTGCCTGAGTCATGAGTCTTAGAATAATGAAATAAGAACTGTTCAAAAAAATTAAAAGTGGGGTTTTACTACAAAACAGGGAAAGGGTGTTATGATTTTCTTGACAATTTTAGTGTGATCGTAAAACATACATAGAAATCTTACCCTTTTTGTGTTGTCTTTTTCATCTAAACCCTGTGGGAATAATAATTGGTAGAGGCTTTTATTTGTTAAAAAAAAAAAAAGCAATGGACAATTTTGATCACATTATAAACTTCTCAGTGTTGGACTGGAATATCATCCTTCCTTGACAGAAATATTACATGTCTTTGCTTATCAGTGTAACTACTCTTTTCAAACTGTAGAGAGCATTGATTACTCTCCACTAGAAGAGCAGATGGGATTAGCGGATGTTCCCTTGTATATGCCTGGACTCTCCTAAGTAAATTTCTTTCTCCATTGACAGCTCATAATTTTTCTAATCTAGAGTAATAAAAACACCTAAAATCTTGTATCCAACCCAGAGATTATTTTCCAAACATTGGAGTCTCCTTGTTATCTTTAAGAGGCGTTGGATTAGGACACACAGCATTTCAGAGTAAGAACTGATAGTATTACTTCCAGCACCTAGTGACACTTCACATACTGGGTCCTCAGAAATCATTGTAGACACTGACACACTAAGAGATCAGGCTTCAGAAATGCTAAGTAGTCTTTCACGTATGTTACCTGTGGTTTCTGGAGAAATCCCATGACCAGAAAACAAAGTTCTTCCAGTCTACTGGACGCCTAATGCAAAGAAAACATGAACTCAGATATCACACTTCCAATCCTACTGCATATAAGATGTAGCATCAAAATAATAAAGTAACCTCTGTCTGACTCACCTGAGGTTGAGAATCTGTGGACAGGTAAGCAGAACATGCATCGTCTATCTGTAAAAGTTCACACAGTCCTTTTTTAAGAAGTCAAATTAATAAAAACAAGTGAAATATGTATATTTTCAGAAACAGTCCAGTGCAGTTAAAGGCACGGCAAGCTTGTCCACCGCAAGGAATCCTTATAGGTACATTCACAAAATATTTTGCATTCAAGGGGAAAAAAAGACTTTAACCACATTAAAAAATGTATATCTGCTTGATTTGAACAAACATATATATCTGTGTCTTTTATTATCTTACCTGCCACATGCCCCTCTTATTTGTAACCTTCTCAGACTAAGTCATATTTTAAATTATCATTTTAAGCATCTGGGGTATGGGCTATGACCTTAAATCTCCTCTGTGATATCTCTGGATTATACAAAACTGTGAAGAAAATGACAAAACTAAAGCAAGTGGTTCAATGAGCAGTCCTCAAACACAATTCTTCCAATTGGATTCCAGCATCCCTGCAGGTGTATGACACACACACCCCTCGTGAGTGATTATGCTATGTGCCAGCACACCTTATGCATGCCAGTCCATTTGTGTGAGTCACCAAGCAGTCAATATCCAAGGTTTGCACTGATTTCTTTGGCAAATGAGGAGCCTTACAAGATTTTGTTTAAAGGAGGTGGTTCCTAAATCACAGTAGTAGTAAGAGATATATTCAATACATTTCAAGGGATCTAAACTCAAAGAGCACTGTGGAAGAAGTCATTGCTGGTAAACTTAGACACGTCAGCATAGAATGAAATGTGACACACAGAGACACAAAACCAAAACAAAGAAATCCACAAACCAAACCAAGAAGTCCCAACTCCCATTTCATCTGGATCAAAACAAATGTCCGTTTAGTTCTCCATCTTATCTCCAAAAATGGCCAAATGTCGACAACCAGGAAAGAGCCTAAGGCAAGACCAGCGGTTGAGTAAAACCCATGCTCTCCAACCACCACCAATCTGTAGTGCAAGCACTTTGATTTGGAAGTAGGTCCTTTGTAACAAAGCTCAGTGGGTTTCTGTGCTGTGAATGTGACCAATCTCTCTCTGAACCACTGTAAACTTTCAGCATCCACAATGTCCTGTGGCAAGGGTTTCCTAAACACTGCGTGAAATACCACTTCTGTTTGTCTTGATCAGTCTTTTCAAAGTTATCTTCATTCAGTGCTACCATGATCTTGAGAGAAGTAATGAATAAGCTATTCCTACCCATCCTCTCCCTACTGTTCATAACCTCATATAGACAATTAATCACATCCTCCTTCTATTGTCTCTTTTCCAAGATGAAAGAATCCCATAATACTGAATCATTTTTAGTGGCATTATTAATAGAGAAGGGAGAAGAAATGGAATAAAGGGTATCTGAATTCATGGAAGTAGTATTACCAGTGCTGAAAGCTCCAAGTATTCTGTAAGGAAAAAAAAAAAATCTCCAGTACTTGAACTGAAGCTGCACAGTTTAATAATAATGAAAAAAAGAGGCGTAACTTTCCATTATATAACTTTAAATTCTATCAATAGCAACCTCCATTGGTATCCACTATTTTTTTTCCATTGAATATTTGATACCGTTATTCCAGATGGCAAAAAGCTTTGCCAACCATCTTGTTCACAGACTGCATAAAAAACATGCGTTTTTTTTAAATAAAGAGTAGGCAATGCAATGGGTCTTATGATTTTATTATACTTAAAAAGCCCTAAACAGCACTCTTTAGCAATGAAAACATTAAATGAGAAAAGCAATAAACAAATAATGCCTATCTGAGTACTTCAAGACAAGAGATGATTCATTTCTCTAGAGACGATGTATGAGAAAGCATTAGCAGAGAGAGTGGGAAAGCTAATAGCTCACAGAATTCCTCGCTCAAATAGTTTTTGTTGGTAACACACCCTCCCCATTCTCTTTTCCCTTTATCTTGCATTTGTTTGTCTCTGGGTATATTAGTTCAGCTTCACTACTTTCAGAGGAAGAAAATGTAGAGGGAGAAATCAGCGGTGAATGAGATAAGCTAAGCTGAAGTGATTTGGGAAGCCTATGTTTAAAATTTGCTGTTTCTTCTTGGTGAGGGATTTTTGGGTTTTGGGTTTTTATTTGCTTGTTTTGTAGTTGAAGATGACTCTTAGAGAACTACCATAATTCAGCAGCAGGACAAGCCAGAGGCTGCTCTGCATTCGACACAATGCAAGGCAAGGTATTGCTCAGCTAAAACCTGCATGGACAAAGCAAGGGTTGAGAAAAAGCCACAGTTTCTCTTAATTAATTTAAAAAAAAAAAAAAATAAAAGTAAAAATCTAATAGTTTCCATCATCCTTGATGCATCTTCTCCATAATTTTCTCTCTTATCTCAGAAATGTGGCCTGAGGGTGAGAGCTTGTGAGTTCTTTAGGGTTGGTTAAATAACGTAAAGAAACAAAAGGATGTGAGAGACAAGTAAAGGAACACAATTCTTAGTTACAAAGTTCCCATATTTATAAACTCAAGAGTCATTCCTGGAAAATACTATGTTCATTTAGAGGCAGGGCTTCTTCTGAGTGACCCACTAGTAAAGTAATAAACAGGGAAAAACTGATTCTTTTCACTCCAAGAAACTGTGGTGAACTAGTATGATTCTGTAATCAGGCTGATTTAGGGTATATAGCTATGCACCTAAATCTCTTCCCTTAGACCCTCTCCAGTCCTGCATTATTCTTGCTATAATAGTAAGTTTTATATTGCTTTTATTACATCGTTTTACACAGGATTTAGTATCTTATACATACTTTTTTCTTCACTGAAATCAATATGAATTTTGTCTGTGTTTCCAGTCACCACAGGGACAAATCTTGTGTTACAACTAGAAAATCTTAGCAATAAATGCAGAAATGTATAAAATTGCATTTTTAATTCAGAATGTAAATAACTCATTTTCAGAAACTCCTTATAGCTATCAAGATCTTACTTCCCAAGAGATCATTTTTTCCCAGGAGATAAATATCACCAGGGTTCGTTCAAGTGCCAGTCTAGAAATACGTTAGCTTTTGAGTCAATACTTCCAATATGACTAAGGGGAGCTGACAGTAAGGGAAGTGTCTCCTGTAACACCCTCAATAGGAAGAAATTTACTCTCTGCATCTGTACCCCGGTGAGTCACTCGCTTTCTAATGTTATCAGAAGCTGCAAAATTAAATGTCAACAGAATACTTGAAGGTTACAGCAGCGTCAGGACATGCGCATTGCAGGCTAAGCCCTCTCTGCGTGTTACGCCCTGCCACTCCACCTGTTCCGAAAGGGCACGGAAGAGCCCATGTTAACACACGTGTCATATCCTAGAGCCAAAACAAATGTTCATTTCAAAGATAACAGTTGAAGTTATGACAGCGATCAGTAGCAAAATTTTAGAGGGGCTAATTGACACAGTATGTTATCCTTTACCTAGTAAATTGGGAGGCTAGGATAGGATTAAATACAGTGTGCAAGCCCTGTGTGCAGAACAGAAGAAGCAAGAGGTAAGACGGGATGAGTTGAAACAATCCCTGCCTATCGTGTACGGACTACAAAACTACCAGACGGGACACTGTGTTGCTTCCAGGGACAGTGACTGCCTGGTCATTGACAGTTAAACGACAACTGCTATCAAATGTAGCTCTTCATTGAGCCAAGACAGTCTTTTCCCAGAATGACATGCCAACACCTTGCCTCAACATCCTCCTGGAACAACTGTTCAGAAAATCTGGAAAATAAGATGTTTCACTGAGATGTTTCACCTCTTCACTGATGTCAGGATAGGAGATGTACAGGAGAAGCAGGACTGGTGGAAGAAGCACCTAAACTCTGTGCAAGAGAAATACTGGAAAGTGAGATGTGACTGTAGCAAGGATGGGAATAAATGGGAGTGTACCATAAGGCAGGTGATGCTTACCTCTTTCCACAGCTGCAAATCCTCATCTGCCTCGAGTGCTTGAGATGGCATCGGTGCACCTGGAAGCACAAATCGTGCTTAGCAATGCTGTACAGCAAAGGTCATTTGTATAACTATCCCGTGTCAGTGATTTAAATCAAAACTCTGAACACAATACAATACCTAGCACACTTATTAACTGCAAGATCTGAGAGCTGTGTGGTCCAAGGAAGTCTGCTGCCCCAGGTGTTGTGGGATTTGTCCAGTAGTTTCTGCTTGCTTTATGTTAGCCACACAGCAGGAGGCTTCTTTGTAAGTTCACAGCAGATACGGACGCTCACATCTCTTAGCAATAAACAGTGTGGAAGTTACTCAGGTTTCACTGAGGGTCAGGTTAGCATTAGTCCATTCTCAGCAATAAGTAGCAGGTAAGAAAATCTGTATGACAGCTCTTGAATGCTAAGACCTGCTCAGGAAAACACATTCCAGCACCTACAACCTCGAGCTTTCCGAGAACGCAGCTAACTCCAGTGCATGCATCGCAAGTTGAGAATCTGGATCCTACCTTTTGCTTTCTTGTATGTTGCAATTAAAGAATTAAACATGTGCTATGTAATGCACACTTACATATGAATAATGCCCATGATATGAACACAGTGTTTTTGAGAAGGTGATAGACAGTACATGTGTAACTGGCTTTGTTTCCTCTGTTTGGCATATGTGATGTGGAAAATCTCAGTCCTTTAGAAGATTAAATGCATTATTAATTGCATAGTGCTGCAGTGATGCCATGCTTGGCTTGAGGGCAGCTCCTTTCTCCACCTCTGCCCACCCAGGCTGGAGACTTGGAAGGCACTGTTTCTGCATCCCTCCCAACTCAGTGCCCAAAATATCCAACTTTCCACATTGTTATTTTATCTGGCCATATATTTCTAACAGCAGTGTATTATTAGAGTCTCTGTAAATAATAGAAATGAGCATCACTGAACAGTGAGGACACTAGACACCACACAAACATATCAGTGAGGGGCTGTGTTGTAACTCACCTGGGAGGGAGATTGATGCTGAACAGGCTGGTGCTTTATCTGTACAGTCCTAGCACTGCATGAAACCCTACAAAGTCATTTAATTTATCCTCCTGTCCAAAGTCACTGCCCATGAGCCATACCTAACCATTTTATATACTGTTCTTAAAGATCTTGGATTAACAGAGATTTTGTAACCTCCCAGACAGTCTATAATTACCTGTGGTCACTTTTTTCTTTTTCCCCCAAAGAATTGAACAAAATTAAACAATAAAGAAGTGAAAGTGGACTTATCTAGAGTGACCAGGTGAGCAGGGTATGAATGCCCATCATCTCCATTCGTTTTATATGTACCATTAATAACACTAATTAGAACAGTAGTTAGTTCCAGGCATTAAGGGGTGGATTTCAAAGACACATTTTGGTATTAGCACAGACTTAAAGTGACTAATCATTCTGGATGCTTGTTTTCCCCCCCAAAAAAGAATTAAAGGGGCTCTTAATTTCACACTAAGTAGAAGTGGGATATTTTTGAAATCTCCGAGTTGTTCACATAACAAGAAAACTGCTTTCCAATTAAAATTTTGCTTTTTGGTGTGTTTGGTTTAGTTCAAGGAAAAATGACAAATAAATTAAAGGTGCTATAATTATCTTACTTTGTTTTCTGTTCTTAAATTAGTATATTAAAATTGGAGTATTGCCTGGGACTGCTATCCTGGTTGCAAACAGTGGAACTGGGCAACACTTCAAATTAACACACCTTCCCCATTAATCCTTTGCCTGCCTGTCTGAACGCTGCTTCTGCCATTGCCTGGTTCCCGAGGCTTTCCAGGCAGAGCAGAAGAAATCCAATAGCCTGTAAAGCTTAGAGCAGCAGGCAAGAAAGACTGACTATTACAGCTAGCCTTTGTTTTTTTTTTCTTTTCTTTTTTTTTTTCCCTGGAGCACAACCTTTTGGACAGAGAGGATGCAATTATTTCACCAGCTCCTAAGTTTCCTCAACCCTTCTCCACTTTTTCACACAACTCGTATTTCATGCGCAGTCCTATCTGTTTTATGCTCACACCTAGGACTACGTTCCTCCCAGTGCCGAGCGGTGTCCCTCCATCACCCCAACAAGAAGAGTGCTGCAGTCCCTACAGGACTTCATCCATTTACACACACGTACACAACAGCACACACAGGGAAACAATAAGTTATTTTGTAATACACACAAAATAACCACGGGGGGGAGAGGAAAAAAAAAAAAAAAAAGAGTGCTTTGAGGAAAGCAATCCTATGCAAAAGGAACACGGAGGAGGAAATCCTCCTACAAAATTGACACTGTCCATGACAGAGAACACTCTTAACCTTCAATTCTGCCAAATTCTAAAAACTCAACTTCTTCCAAGGCAGCAGAATGCCAGATGCACAGCTTCAGTCACCTTTCAGCCTGAGATTCACTTCTTACGTCTTCTCTTCCCTCCACTGCTCTCCCTCCACAAGCTCCTGGCAATCATTTCCATAAGAGCAATGATGAAATACTGTGTGCCATTGACCTTCCTTGCACTCCTTTTCCTTCCCTCCTCTCTTCCACATCTCCAGAATTTATTTTTAACAGAATATTAAGTATACTGTACTTAGATTTCTTCGATTCTTGATGCTAAAAACCCACAACAAATCAGAACAAAAACTCATGATGACAGCAACTCTCACACACGTAATACAAACAAACAAAAAATACTCCTTGCACAGCAACTTATTGCTTAATGTTACTCCACAAAGTAGAAGTAGTTAATCTATCTGAAGTGGGAAAATAGAATAGAAAAGAGAGTAGGTTTTGTTTAAAACCCCATTAGCTGTGCTCATTTCACAAGCAGTCCCTGCCACAAAAATAGGAACTTTCAGGTGTAAGACAACATTTCAAATGAAATCAAGATAATGAAGCTCTGTGCCTAAAGCAACTCTGCAGCTCTATCCTTTCCCACTTAACCCCACCCCCAGGGATTCCTCACGCAATAAATGCTGTTTCAGTGACTTTAAGCGACTTCCAGAGGGTCCTACGTTTCCC